TGAATAACGAAACACAAGAAAAAGAAATAAACGAAAACAATTATACCACAGCAAATATAATAAATACAACAACAACAGGATCAGTCGATGATTCTCAAACCCACGCAATGATCTCATCATTGCTTACTCACCTTACAGGTCCTCTACTAACAACACCAACAATATACTCACCTCAACCTACAATATTCCCCTTTCTAACAACAGATAATGAAACGATAGAATAAACAATGCGAATTTTACAGTGGAATATAAATGGCTTACTTAATAATTACCCTGATTTAAATATTCTAATGAATGAATTTTCTCCTGAAATCATTGCTCTACAAGAGATGCATCTCCCCGCTAATAAGGTAGCGTATTCTCCTAAAAACTACACAAGTTACTTTTCTAATAGCAGTCAAAACACTTCCTGTAAGCAATTGCAATTCTCGTTAAAAACTCCATCAACCATAAACTCATCCCTGTCACTTCTGGCATTTCCTGCTTGGCGTTGGAAATTGAAATAGGCTTCAAAATCACTATTGTCAATTGCTACATCCCGCCTCATCAGAACTTTACTAATAGGGACCTTAGTAATATCATCAACACTGTTTCTGCCCCAATTGTTTTGTTAGGCGATTTTAATGCTTGGAGCCCGCTGTGGGGTTCTCCTGCTAGTAATAAAAGAGGAGAAATCATTTAGGATATAATACTTTCTCACAACCTATCATCGATCATATCGATGGATCACCCACTTACTTCTCCACACATAAAACGTTTACCAATCCCGACATCACCCTTGCCTCCACATCAATTGCACCCAAACTTTTCTCCAACACACTTCAAGACATCCATAATAGTGACCATTTTCCGATTATAACCTCCATTTCCATCCCTAATTGGTATAAAGTAAGACCCACATCAAAGTTTTGGGTCGGCTTTAGTATACCGTCCCAGGATTTCGGTAATAAAATGGGTACGGTCGGATAGAGGAGATTCTCCAGATCACGAATATATATGGTTATAGCCGCAGGAAGCTTATAGTTTTCGAGATATTCGCVATTAAAGTTGAAATTTTGCAATATTTTAATTACATATTTCCGGTATTTAAAATTAATTTTTCAC